CAGCACACACATCTACGAGACAGACAGGGCAAATCCCTCCCCAAGACCATTGTACGTATTCATCACAAACCTCAAGTTCCTAAATACTCTCTAACGTTCATAGCACTTCCCCTACTCCCGCCACTCCTCCTACTCCGAACTGTGCCATCTTGTTTCCGCATTCAAACCCAAAGATGTCCACCCTTGCACAGTTGATCCTGTGAGCTGGGACGAGGAAGTCTCCATGCAAACCCTCTTCGGGCACCTCTGCAGCGCGAGTGGATTCGCCCACGACCAGCAAATGCGGGACCTGACAGCAAACGATCCAGAGATACGAGCAAGAAAACGAGCCCGTTATGAAGGTTCCTTTACAACACAGTCCAGCCAACAAGCATCCAGCATGATAGACAGCAGTATACCAGAACCATTCCAACCAAGCCACCCTCCACCCCCAGCAGCCATCTCCGATCCACTGTCCTCCTCAGACCGAATTCCCCTTCCATCGTCCCTCGAGCCAATCGAAGACCCCGTCCCAGTACCCACGGACCATCCTCTCATAATCCCCACCCCATCCCCAGAAACCGCAAAGACACGCCGCGACGAGATCCGCCGTGCCTGGCACATGCTCAACAACGCCGAGCCCTCCGAGCGAGCACTCTACCAGCTGGACTCCCTCCCTTCTTCTTTGGCCGAGGAAGAATCTGAACTACCTAAGTCTGAAATCGCTCCGACCCCACATCCTCCACTAGACAACCCACCTCATACTACAACAACGGCCAAACACATCTCATCAATACAAACACAAACATCCTCTTCCATTATCAACACCAACCCAGACCCCCAACATTCACCAACATACACTCAGCCCTCAGCCACACCACCACACTCAGATGACAATGAGAACCAAACCCAAACCCAAACGAACAGCCAATCCAGCGAACCGCTCTCCTTATCATCATCAACGTTCGAGTCTCAGGAACAGGAGACAAGCATCGAGCAACAACGACAACAGGAAGAAGAAAGTATAATACCCAACTATGACGGCACAGCAGACCATATCACTCCTCATTACCGCCATCGCCACCGACAGCAAAGTCTTCGACGATCGGTATCAGCCCAAATCCGCCGGGACGCATATCTAGCCGCACGAGCAGATAGCTTTGAAGCGTGGGCGGCAGTTTCGCTCATATCAACCGGAGATAACCATACTGAAGAAGAGATTGAGCTCTGATTAGGTCAGTCATGCGGTCTACATACATATCATAATGATTCATGTACTATTATAAGGAAATAAGAGAAGTAAATGCAATTTCATATCATGCATGGCTCATCACGTAAGTCAGGTCAGGTCAGGTTACTATATACAATCCTCCTTCCTTCCCTCCTTCCATCTCATGCATTACTCCTACCTACCCCCTTCAACCAACCCACCTAAGGCCTTTCATAAATATCGTAAATAGAAAAGAAAGTAAAAGTCTATACATAAGAAGAAAGCAAACAACCCGAAATCTCCACCCTCAAAAGATATCATGCTTAGTAAACGAAGTAATCCTGTGTCAGGGGCAGACTGCCTGCAGGTTCGGCATCGCAGAGCACTCCATCCGCCTCGACACGGTAACTTTCCGGGTCGACGTGCATCTTGGGCATGATGTCGTTGAATTTCATGTCGGCTTTGCCGATGTTGCGGCAGTTTTTGACGGCTTCGACGCGTTTTTGCAGGTTGTAGGATTGAACCACGCCGGCGTCGAGGGAGGCTTGGGAGACGAAGGTGATGGATGTGGAGGGGACGAGGGCCTGGGGGTTTTGGTTAGTGATGAGGGAGTAGGTCTGGAGGGCGGTGGTGACTTACGCCGAATTGGGGACGCATGATGACCGGTTGGACGGTGGGAATGGATGCGTTGGGGTCACCCTGGTTTTCATTAGCAAGTGCATCTTTTTGGAGTTTGATTTACAGTAGGGGAGACGTACCATCACTGACACGGCGATCATGCCACTCTTCACCACCTGCGTTGGCTTCACACCAAACGCGCTGGGCGTCCACAGGACGAGATCGGCGATCTTGCCGACCTCGATACTGCCGATCATATGGGACATACCCTGCGCGATGGCCGGGTTAATGGTGTACTTGCTGACGTAGCGCTTCACGCGGAAGTTGTCGGCACCGGTGCCTTCATCCTCGGGCAGCGGGCCGCGCTGCTCCTTGTTCTTGTGTGCGGTGTTCCACGTCCGCAGGATGACTTCACCGCAGCGACCCATAGCCTGGGAGTCAGAAGACATCATGCTGATAGCGCCAAGGTCGTGAAGAACATCTTCAGCCGCAATGGTTTCGGCACGGATACGAGACTCTGCGAAGGCGACGTCCTCGGCAATGTTCTTGGACAGATGGTGGCAGACCATAAGCATGTCAAGATGTTCATCGAGGGTGTTGAGAGTAAAGGGACGGGTTGGGTTGGTACTACTGGGGAGGACGTTGGGGTGCTCCACAACCGAGATGATGTCCGGAGCGTGACCACCTCCGGCACCTTCGGTGTGGTAGGTGTGGATAGTGCGGTTCTTGAATGATTCGATGGTTTGTTCAACGAAACCGGATTCGTTCAGCGTGTCGGTGTGAATCATGCACTGGACGTCGAACTTGTCGCACAGGTCGAGGCAGCTGTCAATAGCGGCGGGCGTAGAACCCCAATCTTCGTGCAGCTTCAATCCGGCGGCACCAGCATAGATCTGCTCCTCGATGCTTACGCCACCGCAGTCGTTACCTTTACCGGTGATACCAACATTAATGGGCAGACGGTCGCAGGCTTGGAGCATCTGGCGCATGTGAACGGGGCCAGGCGTGCAAGTTGTGGCATTGGAGCCAGTCGAAGGACCGGTTCCTCCTCCTAAGAACGTAGTGATACCAGAGGCGAGCGCCTCATCCACCTGCTGGGGGCAAATGAAGTGGATATGAGTGTCGAAACCACCAGCTGTGACGATCTTATTTTCACCTGCAATAACATCGGTGGAGGAGCCGATAGTCATGCCCGGGGTGACACCATCCATGATATCAGGGTTTCCAGCTTTACCAATGCCCACAATGAGCCCATCCTTGATTCCAATATCAGCCTTGAAGATACCAGTCCAGTCGATGATCAGAGCGTTCGTGACAACGGTGTCCAAAGCATGCTCCGTAGACTTTTCCGAAGATTGACCCATGCCATCTCGAATAGACTTGCCACCGCCGAATGTACACTCGTCTCCATAAGATGTGTAGTCCTTCTCCACACGAACCCAGAGGTTGGTCAGACCCAGACGCACGAGATCACCAGTAGTAGGGCCAAACATGCGCGCATAGGCCTCACGATCCATCGAGAACGGTGTAGGTACCAGCGCGCTATCGGCAGTGGGTTCGGGAACATGGGCGAAGTTCTGCACTTGTAGACGAGCCATGATCTCCTCGGCACGGGCAAGATCGACCTTGCCGGACGCGATGCAGTTACCTCCACGAATAACCTGGTGGCCACCAATTTCCACGAGCGTAACCACCTTGGTGTCTCCGGGTTCGAATCGTACCGACGTACCGGCGGGAATATCGAGTCGATATCCATAGGATCGAAGGCGGTCGAAATGCAGCTGCGGGTTGGTTTCGATGAAGTGGTAGTGCGAACCGACCTGAATAGGACGGTCACCCCTGCTCATCACCTTGAGCTTGATTCGCTTCCTTCCCTCGTTCAGGACGATACGTTCGTTCTTCACGGGTATTATCGCTCCGGGCGTCTTCTCGGGTTCATAGTCATCCGGGTCGGGGTCGGGGAAGGCATCTGCCGGGGGAATGGGGAGGAAACTGCCGTAAAGGGCCTTTTCAAGGTCTCCATCGTCGCTACTGATAGGGTTGTGTACGGTCACGAGATAGGTACCGGTGGTGAATGTTCCTTCTACCTGTAATTCGTACAGGGTAGAAACGACAGAGGGGAGAACGTGCCGGCGACCCAGCATGCTCTTTCCGATAGACATGAGATCGGCTACGGAGTATTGTCCATCGCGGATCAGCTGTAATCGGGGAACAGGAGTTAACAGGGATAATCAAGGTGATTTTCTCGGGGTGGTGGGCTGTTTACCTCCTGCAGGTTGGACGAGATCAACGCCTACCAAAGATCGTCAGTCATGCTTTCCAGCAAATCACGATGCGCATGAAATGGAGCTAATATGCAACATACCGCAGCTTCGGCATGGTTGAGACGAATACCGCGAGCCAGTCGACGCTGAGCCAGGAAGCCCAGCTGAGAGATAACGAGCTTATCAAGCTGGAGAGAAGAGCAGAAAGTCAGTCAATCCAGCTAATTCGAGCAGTTTAGTGCGGGCAAATGTCGCAGCATACCTCCTTGGGACTCAAATGCATGCTGGGCTGGCAGTGAAAATACCCTTGACTTCGAGATCACAGACGTCCTCGCGGGACCACGAATGAAGCAGCGGACCCAACCTCCGACGCAAGGCGGGTTTTCTGGGGGTGGAGGAGGTGGGCGGGCAACAATATGAGATGTCAGATAGCGAACGCGGACTTTGTTGTTATTTTGGAGAAATTGACAGGCCAGAATGGACCAGGGACGCAGGCTCGGGAGAGGAATTTAAACGCCACGGCCGGGGGAGAAAAGGCGCGCCGGATCGGGAGGTAAAAGTGGAAAAGGTGGGGATATCCAGACATTCCATCTTTGGCATCCTCATACTTTGGCGAAACGAGCGAAGCCATTGCCCGATAAGCGGTCGGCAGCTGCTGATAAGCATCACATCGACCTATGGCAGCCCGGCTTGGGCCAGGTGACTAACGGCTTGCAGTCAATCGGGAAACTTCGCTTGGAGTTTTGGAACTGAACATCGGCACTCGCCGGCCACTGCAGCCTCCACTTCTTTCCCCTTTCAGTCTAGTCGCTATCAGTTCGCTTCAGCCCAATATGTACCCCGGGGAATGATGCCACCACCGTAACATCTATTCGAGCTAGTATCTACATTCTACATGCTGCTACTGGACTAGTCAATGTATAAGCTGTCATTTAGGTTAAAATTAAGCTTTTCTTCTTCCTTTTTATTCTTTTTTTTGTCTTCCATTCAAATTGAACTATCAATGACCCAGCCCCAACTGAATAACACCCCGCAAAGCGCAAAACAGTCAAGACGCCAACAGGTCCTAGGAATGTAAAAGAGATAACACAGCGACCCCAATAGCAATGGCTCCCAACAAACCAATCCGCAATATGCTACACACACAGAGAGTAGTCATATAAAGGGACAAAATTTACATCACGTAGAAACTACCAGTGGCAGTAGACAGGCACCCAATTCCAATTTGAAACACCATGCCTTTTCCAGATCAAGATCACCAATCGCCTCATACTGGTCATACTTACTCCTCAGCACCGGCCTCGCTCTTGCGCTTCTTCTTGGTGGCGCGCTTGTTCTCGCCACCTGCAGCCTTGCGAGCAGGGGTTTCTTCCTGCTCCTTCTCCTTGCGAGCAGCAGCGCCGCGCTTCTTCTTCTCGGGGGACTCCTTCTTCTTCTCGCTGGGGGTCGGTGCCTCCTTGGCAGCAGGCTTGCCCTCGCTGCGACGACGCTTGGTGCTGCGCGGGGGAGTGGGCTCCTTGACCGGCTCGGGAGAAGACTCCTCCTCGGACTCTTCCTCGGATTCCTGCTCCTCATCTTCAGACGCCTCAGTGGCCTCGGCGCCCTCAATACCCTGGTGCAGCTGGCTCGCAGCCTTGGCATCGTCCGAGTAAGGGAGACCAGCCTTGTAGGCCTTCACCTTCTCCTTGTAGATGGCAAGGTTGTCCGCATACAGCTTCTTCCAGACCTGTGCGCAAGTTAGCAACGGTGCTTTTCGTGGTTTAAAAAGCGCAAGTCGACGTACCTCCTTCTGGGGTTCAGGCATCTCAGCCCAACGGCGAGTACCCTCGTCAGAGACTTCCTTGGGCTTGGCATTGGGACCCAACTCCTCAGCAATACGGGAGCGGTTGTGCTGCATGTAAAGGAAGAAGGGAGTCAAGGCGCGCTTGGGCGCGTTGGGGTCCGGGGGAGCACGCTTGCGCTTCTTCTTCTCGCCCACTTCGGACTTGGCACCAGGGCTGGTAGCGCGCGCACCAAGCAGACCAGACTCATACAAAGAGCTGGTGATGCCGGTGATGCTGCTGATGTCCAGGGCAGTAGGGGTGCGACCCAGGACAGTGTCGGCATGGTTGAGGTAGGCCTTGGTCAGCTCAGAGACCGCGGCCGACAGTTGCACTAGGCTGGAGACAACCTGCGAATGGATTAGTGGGGCTTGTTGGGGAGCAGCATGGGCGACGGTGCGGATGCCGGAAGTGATGGTATGGATGGCAACGGTGGCACGGGAGATGGGCGCCACCAGCGCCGGGGCAGGCGCTGTTGATGGCGCCCGCTCTGGAGATGAGCGTCCGCGCCGGGCCATTGGGGAGTGGAAAGGCGTGGCGCGAAACCAAGGAAACGCGAGGTGCGATTACAGAAGCGAAGGAGAGGGGCAAACAAAGGGAAATCAAAGCCGAAAAGCCAGCTGAGAAGGAAATAAAGCCAGAGAATTCAAATGCGAACACCCAAGGAATGGTACAAAGCTGGGTTGAGGGGGGAAACGAAAGCCAAAGGCGTCGCGCAGAGCCCGTCGGGGTGGCCTTTTGTTTACGGACGCGTGGTGGTGAATTTTGGGGGGGTGCGAGGCCAGCGCAGCGCCCGTCCACCGTAGCTTAAGGGAAGCAGTCGGCAGGCCGCGCGCGCGCGCGCCGGAGGGCAAAACGACGGAAAGAAAAGATACATCAGAAGAACCAAATTAACTTACACTGTCGCGAGTGCGGGTAAAATCTTCAACGTTAACGGTGACAGTGTCATCCCTAGCCTTGGAATCTTCGCGGCGAGACATGATGGAATGAGCAGACGGCGGGGGGCGGGCAACCACACCGGAACGATTAATGGATGAGATATGGGGGGGGGCGGCGAACACAAGTAATGTTAAGGAAGAAGGGAAAAGAGAGGGAAGGGCGATGACGGGAAGAAAAGAAGATTTTTCGCTCGCTAGCGGGGTCCAGTTTAGCGGGACGAGGCCTCCTAAATACTGCCCCGTTCGCCGCTGGCCTCCCCTCGCTGTTTTGGGCTTAGGGAACTCTTCTTCTCTTTCTTCGGGCTGATCGTCCCTCCCTAATCATAGTGGCCTTTAGGGGGTCTGCCTTCCCTAAACCTGGGCGACTGTCTTCCCCCCTCCCAGTGTCCCAGTGTCTCTAGAGGGCCTTTCCCACTAATTCTCTCAGGGAGGGGCCTTCCTGGTCTTCCACTCTTCTGCTGCTGCTGCTGCTGCTGCTGCTGCAGGGCCCCCCTTGGCACCCGGGCCTAACCTGTTAACCTGAGCAACCCCTCCTCCCACACACACCATCGCCCTGAAACTCGCTGAAACCCACTACTGTACTGTAGCCCGCCGCCACCTGCCCATCTTCCCCCGAACCCTTCCGGCACAGCAAGCAAACAATCCCATCCCCCTCTCTCTCAGAGCCCATGTACCCAACTTTGACAATTCCATTGAAAGAAACACCAACTCTCAACCACATGAAATGAATTCAATAGAAAGAAAAAAATAACTGCGCATTTGTCGCATAAACTCACACTACTCACAAAACTCATCAACAACCACCCCAACACATAAATATATACCCAATCGAAACTCTTAAAATGTAGATGACAGTACGTACTTACTCCTCATGCTGGTTCAGCCACCCCACACCCGGGCGCATCCGCGAAGCTGCGCACCTACGCAGCAGTAAACGGTCCATCCCACGCACCCCCCTTCCCTTCACCTTCCCCAAACCCTGGCAAAGTTAGCAGCAACAAACGAGCCTACTACTGTGGCTACCCCGCGCGCGGCCGCCGCACCAGCACTCTTCAACCTTCTTCCCCCCGACCTACTACGGGACGGAAGAAAATCTGCGTTGCTGTTTAACTTATCTACCATGATGATTGATACGCAGGCGCGCATTTTATGATACATCATATTTTTATTATGTGGGTAGTTATTTTTGTGTGTTCGGGTATCAAAATATTAATCTTCTGATGTACTTTTTGATCTGATTGCTATAATTTTAGTTTGTGGTTGATGCCTTGGAAAGTAAGTAATTGATCTTATTGTTGGGGTTTGGGAGATATATTTCAGTTACTAGTACCATGAATACTACTAGTACTGAAGTTGATTGTGATGGCGCGACAACTTTTTGATTTAGAAACTACGTACTATCTTACTAGTATTACTACCACATCTAGTAGTTGTAGCTACAACTGCGATACTATATGCTAGAGATATATATCACCACCGGGATCCCGAGAAATTACTATTATATTCATATCATTGTAGCTAGTAGTACTATTGATCATACATGTGTGAAGGAAAAGATTTCTTTAAACATAATCTCATCAATGGCATTGCTTAAGTAAAGATGAAATAAGTAGTCATGTGTAACTGATCAATTTTGTGCAGCGATTGATTCAGTAAACAATGGTTTTATCATTCATTGGGTGAATTTTGCAGGATTTCTTCCTTTGTTCTTACGGGGCAGGGTTTTGTTTACTTTTCTGCGTAAGCGCATGGGACGCCTTGGTGCTTGTGCTTGTGCTTGTGCTTAGTAGGTCCCCTGCTTATCGTGGTAGTGAGGGGCTGCTTACTCCCCGGAGATACCTCTCGCGCGCTACTTGACCTATCAGGCGCGGCCTCTGTCTCTTGTAGATTACGGTATGGATCTTTGTGTTTATCGCTTTATCACAAGTAGGTATACATTCTACACGCTCAAATCGTTCTATAATGACATGGCATGTTCTCTCTTCCCTATCAATGATTTATTCTCTTCTCATGTACATCCCATCTAGAACTTGAAGACCTGCTCCTTAGAGTAGCCCAGCTCCTTCAGGATACCGGACAGCTCGCCCTGGTCCGTAGGGCTGTTCTTGGTGCCACTGATGGCCTTGTACATGCCGGGGGGACCGCAGACGAAGATCTTGATGTTCTCCTCCTTGGGCTCGGGGAGGACAGTCTTCAGAAGTTCCTTGTTGATGTAGCCCTTGCCGCCGGTCCACTCCTTGGGAGGGTTGTCCAGGACGTAGAAGGCACGGAAGCGGCGGGGGTAGGTGTTCTCGAGCTCCTCGAATTCCTTCTTCAGGAGGATGTCCTCCTCCTTGACGTTACCGAAGACCAGGGTGACCTTGGTCTGATCCTCGGGGTTCTTGAAGATCTCACGCGCAAGCTGGTACATGGGGGTGATACCGGTACCACCAGCGATCAGGCAGATGTGGTTGTGCTTGTTGGTCTCCCAGGGGTACTTGACGATGGGGCCCTTAAAGTCCAGGCGCTGGCCGACGTTCATGCTGTGCAGGTGCTCGGACATGGGTCCGTTGGGGTAGACCTTGACGACAAGGTCGATGTAGCCGGGGGTTTCTGCGCCAAGTCAGTAAATGTCAAAAAGTGTTCGAGGCTGAATTGTGAGAGCCATACCCTCATCGCTGGTGGGGGTGTAAGGGCGGATGACAGCCTTGGCGTCGGCGGGCTTGAACTTGGTCAGGAGGGCAGCTGCGCGTTCATGAGTAGGAATTCCGGATGGTTATTTCAGAGCAAGGCGACATACAGGCAACCTGGAGGCCGGAGACAGCTTCCTTGTCCTCGAACTCAAAGCGCAGGCGCTTGGTGTTGTGGTTCAGGACCTCAATCTCGGACAGCTTCAGGTCAAACCATCCTTGGTCACCACCCTTGAAGACCTTGGGGCGGTCGACAACAGCGGGGGCCTCAGCGGTGGCCGAGTTGTAGCGGTAGAGACCGACAGCGACACCGGTGATACCAACGGCGGCGTAGATGGGAGCCAGGGAAGACTTGCCCTTGGGCGCTTCCGTGGAGTACTTGCGGAAGCCCTGTGGTAAGCCGAAATTAGCACAAAATTCGGTCGTCGGTAGAGATCGGGAAGGGCGAAAAGGGTAGGGAGAATAACAGCGCTCAGGTGAAGAGGGATGAAGCATACCTGCTTGAGGGGCTGAGCGCAGCGGAAAGCTTGACGAGCGAACATTTTGAATGAATGACAGACACCAATGCGTGCTCAATGGGTGGTGAGAGGAAGAGGGAAGGTCAAGGGAGCAAGAGCGGAGGGAAGAGGACCTTCGGCAAAGGTAATTACTAGTCTCAAGCTCCTCCCTCTCGGACTCCGAGACGCCGTTTCCGCACATGACGCAATGGGGCCGCTCGCGTGCCTGGCGTTTTACTAATTACAAACTGACATTTGATGGACATCTCCATCTTTATGTAACTCTTGTCGATGGATAAAGAATTGAAAATGCTCTATACTGGGGTTATATATCTGGCCTTGTGAACCGCACACTATCATAGAATTCTCCTGAAATAACCCCAGACAGCCCGATGGCCTGTCTTACTGGCCTCCCTTACAGAACATATACTACCTGCAATATGGCCGAGCGCCAGCGGATAAATTCATTTCTGGAATCAAACCCAGTTTCTGTAGATACTTGACCGAATCCCTGCTTACCTGTCTTTATTTCACATATAACAGTTTAGAACGCAAGAATAATTGCTGTACTGTGTATGTACGCCAAATGCCTAGCAGGATCTGTTGTCCACAAGCCGTTGTTTTACAGGCCAGATTGTCAAAGGTTTCTTGTGGAATGACTTGGCCCTAATCAAGTGAATAGACTAGACACAAGTAGTGCCACCAATACCTGGAGGATAACGAAGTCATTGAGGCAAGAAGCCATGATGTCAAGCGTGTTATATGTTTTCCCACTGCCACCCTCGACATCCGACGGATATACATGGCTAAACCCGAGCCAGCCAGAAACGCCACCGCGACTAGACTCTGACAACGTCCCACAAATATGCCCAGAATATTGGAACAAAAAAATAACGTTCCGCATGCTAGCCTATATTTGCACTTTTGCAGGTATTAGATAAACCCAACTGGCAAACAATCTGGGGAAACATGAATAGATGATTGTTGCATATATATATCGAAAACCCCCAAATTTGGGTTCCGGATGTAGATTACGGTAAGAATTTCGATCCTCGTGGAATAGCAGGACCAGCACTACGCAAAGCGTTCTACAATGTCTACAGTACGCTATGCCCCGTCCAAGAATAAACAGAAACAATACCCCGGTATTTTTTGATATAACTTGAAAGGGTCGCTGCAGAGGACTTAAAGAGACATAAAAACCATCCGTCCCATTACCTGGGTTGAGGAAACACGCCCTGTCCGCGTGCTCCGTGTCCTTCGTGCATGCTATGGCCATAACATAGTCATTCATCCACACACTCCGATCACCCAAACCCAAAACGTCACATTTACGCGAAAGTAGAGGGACGAGAGTAAGCGAACACCTTCTTGCTGTTGGCAGCACGGTGGGGCAGGGGGAACTTGAGGTTCTTGGAGAGGAGCTGCTTGATGTAGGGGCGGCGGATGCTGTCGGCGTTCTCGATCTCAACAACCTTAAGGATCTGTAGGAACGTAGTTAGATCGCAGTGTTCCTCGGCAGAAAGAGGATAGGAATCTCAACGTACGTGGATGGAGCCGAAGCGGGCACGGTGACGGGCAGCCATGTCCTGGTAGAGAGCCTCAACAGCCTCGGTGCGGCTCATCTCACGGAACTCCTTGTACATGTTGTGGGTGCCGGAGCGGGAGTCGTAGCGGAGCCAGATACCGAAGTTCTTGACCTTGGTAGGGCGCTTCTCGCTGATCTATTGGAGGAGAGAAAAGACAGGCGTCAGCCAACACTGCCAACTTGTCGCTTTATAACGGCCACACATACCACATTGATGCTGACGATCTCACCGTTGGCCTTCTTGACCTTGCGGAGCTGGGTCAGGAAGTACCAGAACCGGGACTTAGCGACAACAGTGTTGGGCGCAAAGATGCGCATGCGGTACAGCTTGGGCGTGGGGTTAGCCTCGGTGGGCAGGTGACGCCCAATGACCTGGTACTCGGTGAGACGCCCTATGGATCCCAGTCAGCCATGTCCTCCTATCCGATGAGAACTGCCTCGTGCAATGGTTTCAGTCGTTGCGTATATTCCGTGCGAAACGTTGTTGACGGTTGTGCGAGTTGCCGATACTTCTGCGATTATTTCATGTGTGCGCCACGATATCGAAATTTTCGTCCTCCTATATCAGTCGTCCGAAGTTGAATAATCCACCCATCAATCTTGCTTCCAATCAATTCCAATCCAATTTCAATCAAGATTTGTATGATCCGATGTCGCCGAGATAGAATGATGCCGTAAAAAGTCGTTCAACGATCGCAGGGGGAACATCGCAATAGCCGATCCACCATTGGGAAACAATATTGGAATTCTGGAAAATTTCACTCACCCATCTGGTAAATTCAGTCAGTAACAATTTCAATATGTCGATGAGCAGATCAAAAAGGTAGGGCTTACTTTGATTGTTGACGCTGTAGTGGTTAGTCGACGAGAGGTGTGCCGGCTGCTGGACTCGTCGCGGAAAGGAGGATTTTTGGAACAGTTGATTGTGAGCTAGGTTTAGCCCTGCTTAGGGCTAAGCGACCGTGTGGCTTGGTAACCCACCTTGCCTGTTTTGGAACACTAGCCACAGCCAAGGTGGCAGCAGTGATTAGATAACACGGATTCCCTGAGCGGCGCCGCAGTTTCCCCACCTTCGCCCGATCGCGTCCGCGGCTGGCTTCATGGACCTGGAACTCCTGTCAGTGACGCCGATTGTTGGTCTCCGTGGCTCGGACGTACGATCGCCGTGACTGCATGTCCGCTGTTGAACCTTTCCCCTCCTTCCCCGCGACCTACCTCTACATTCTTGCAGTCATCAACCATGTCCAACATCTTCGATGATTTCAAGGAGGGCCAGAAGATCGGCTCTGGCGCCCGCCTGGCGGCATCTCTCTCCCCCGTCGCGACTGCGGAGTACCCCGACCGTCTGAAGTCATTCTACTACTTCTCTAACGCCGTACATGTTTCCGCCGACCTCCGATACTCGCTCTTCCAAGCAAATGGCCTGAGGCTTCCCAAGCAAGAACAGAACTCGTGGGTCGATATCTTTACCGCTTATTGGAAAGCCGTGGGGGAGATAGTTCGATTCGACGACTCCCCCAGACATGCTAGTTGGGTGAAAGTGTTCGATGCGTGGAAGGATACGGCAAATCAATTGATTAGGGGCTACTCGACAGGCAGTCTGCAAGCTTGGACGGTGCCATGCTTGTACTCTGTCGGAAGATATTTGCGGGCCTTCGCCATGAAGGCCGATGCTGAGCTTTCTGCCCAAGACTCCGTCACTTTCGACGATCGCTTTCAAGATGATGCGACGGATGCCAAGAATCCAAAGCTGGAGGAAGCTACACGGGTGCTCAACAGGATGTTTACTTTGTGTCTAAGTGACCGGTAAGCTATTTTCGGAAGTGTTGTGGACATACCATGCTAAGGTTGTTAAGGGCACCGATCGAGGAATCGCGAAAATGGGGCATCTACGACACCACAAACCTACTGTTCAAGACTTACTTTAAACTCAACACCGTTGGCCTCTCCAAGAACTTGCTGCGTGCCCTCAATGCCTCATCTGCCGACCTTCCCGGCTTGGACGCCTTTCCCAAGTCTCATATTGTCACCTTTGAGTACTACGTCGGTGTTATACACTTTCTGGATGAGAATTATGCTGAAGTATGTGCTTCAGTCACCTGTGTTGGGTTCTGTTGCTAATATCTGGGTTCAATAGGCTGAAGAGCATCTGTCGTACGCATGGAGGATGTGCAACAAATCTGCGACGAAGAATAGAGAGTCAGTACTATACATGGCGTCTTCGTGCTATATTGCTGACTACTTCCAGGTTGATTCTCACCTACCTCGTTCCCTGCCATCTTGTCACCACACACACTTTGCCCAGCAAAAAGCTTCTTGCACCGTTCCCTCGTGTAGAGAAGCTCTTCCGTCCATTGTGCGACTGTATCAAAAAGGGAGACCTGGGCGGGTTTGATGCCGCGATGACAGCCGGAGAGGAAGAATTCGTCAAGAGGCGCATATACTTACCCCTGGAAAGGGGACGCGATATCGCTTTACGGAACCTCTTCCGCAAGGTCTTCATCGCCGGTGGATTCGACGAACCCAAGGAAGGACAGTCTCCCATTCGTCGCACACGGGTTCCCGTTGCCGAGTTTGCAGCGGCGTTAAGGATCGGTACTCATGCCGATGATCGGTTACGCGTAGACATTGATGAGGTTGAGTGTCTGCTGTCAAACCTTATCTACAAGGTGCGCATTAAGATGCCCGGAAACCATCGAAACACGAAGCTGACAAGAGTTGTAGGGATTGATGAAAGGATACATTGCCCGTGAACGCGGCATGGTTGTATTGAGCAAAGGTGGCACCGCATTCCCTGGAACAGGGGTTTAGCTCTGCTATCATCCGTCATCCGCATCTTCGGTGACGGCCTATCACACTTATCGAACAGTATCGGGTCACCAGTATACCATCGCCCGAAGGGCATTACCCGAGAGCCTTCAAGATCACGGCTATGGCAGGGACGTCTGCAGCGCTGGCCAGCCTGTATGCAATGCGCTCCAACAGGCCTTTGAGCAGCTCCCGTGCAGCATGCATATCATAGATGACCGCTTACAGGACCCATACCTCCAACGGCGCTGGTACATGAACGGATGGTATGCCCGCAGTTGTGCAAGTCGTACAGTAAGTGCTGGTGACATGCCTCAACTGCCTGGTTCAAGCTGAAAACGCTGTAATCTATACCATGATAGACCGATTATAAATACCACATGACCTCATGACAGATACAATCTCGCATTCTGTATAAATCCCCATAACAGACACATTACTATACAAACATCGCATCAAGCAATACATAGCATACACTACTAATCCATCCCAACACAACAATGCCATCCCCTCCCAATACATTATACCAAATAGAACAATCCGCCCAAACCAGCCGGGCTGCATACATCACTAACATGTCCCTTCACCCCTCGCCGCCTCCTCAAGATCATCCTATAGTAAACCACCCACATTAGCCCTCCGTACACACACACACACACACACACCCTTTCACTTTGCAAAAGAGAAATCAGAACTCACCATATGATTACACATTGCCACAAACAAATCAAAAAACAACTTCCCCCCACGTTCCATCTCCATCTGCATCGTCCCACTCCGCTTGAACGTTCCCCGACTGCGGATGATCAGCGCCAGATAATGCGCCCGCAGCTTACTCTCCGTATCCGGCGTGTGCATGTACGCGTACCGCGCACTACTCAGGATAATATGGCAGGGGATGTTGGAGTGGAGGCCTTGCTTTTTCAACGAGAGGCGTTTGAGATGCTCGAGGGAGTATTTCTCGGCTGCGCAGCTATATAATACAGTTTCTTGTGTTAGCATGGGACGGGGGTTGTTGATTGATGAATTTGTCTAAGGAGAGGAAGGGGTTGGTTGACGTACTATACTGCGGTGTCGCGGAGGATTTCTGCTCCTACGGCTGGGTGGAAGATGATGGCGCTGGGGTCGGTGGTGTCTTTGGTATTAGTGGTAGTATTGTTTCTGGTATTAGGAGTGGAGGATGAGGAGGTTGTTGTTGTTTCCAAGTCCCATGTGTTGGTGGATTTGTCGTGGCGGAGACGGGGGTAGTAGTCGCCGCGGTAGAGGTATTCGAGGACGCAGGAGAAGATTTCGGGCTGTTCGTCGGGGAGGTCAATTGTTTTCATGGATTTGGTAGGGCTGGGTGAGGAGGAAGGGGAAGACGACGGGGAGGAAGAAGAGGAGGTGTCATTGTTGGGAGGATTGCAGAGGGCTGCGAAGTAGGGCGAGACGCAGAGGATGTCCTTGTGTGCGGCGAAGAGGCGTTTGGTTGGGCCGATGGTGAGGGTTATTACGCCGTGGGAGAGGGAGGAGTTGCTATTTGGTGGAATTGGGGTCTTAAGGTTAGTGGGTGCTTTTGATTTTTACTGAGATGGGATAGGGAGAGAAGGATTGTAAGAACCTTCCATCTGGGGGTGTGTCGGGAGTGTGTCTGCTGCGATGGAGACGTCGTGATGCGGCGACTGATTGTTCGCGAGATCGCGGTTTGGCCTTGCCGGCTCGGTATCTGGAGGAGAAGCTATCTGGGTGGTGGGAATGTAGGCGTTTTGTGGAGAGGACTCTGGGGCTAGGGCGATGGAGGCCCTGCTGCTGCTGTGGTTGTTGCCGTTGGGATAGCATTGTGAAGGAGGGGATTTGGGGGGGATATGGGATGGAATAGTAGTTGGGGAGAAAGAATTTGACCCTGGAGATGGAAATCAGGGGTTCCTTGCGATTATAAAACTAGTGGTAGTACTCTAGGATACTCGGTGGTAGAGAAAGAGATGGTAAGAACTGGACAGATACATGTATGTTTGACCTCTCCTATTTGGAGTGCCTTCTTTGTCTCTGGAAAGGGGGTTGCTAAACCACAAGCACAGGCCATCCTTTACTCCTCGCAGAGGAAGGGGAACGAGGGAAAAGTCTCCAGCCCTTTTATCTCCAGATCCTGGTCGAATTTGACGCATTATAGATCAACTCGACCAGGATGCATGTTCCTCTCTGTGCAGGAGGGGACATGGAGAGGGGAAGAGCAGCGAACGCGTAACGGCAGGTACTGCTAGTAATGGACGCGTAAAGTGGTTTTTTGTGCATCGCCAAATGATCGCGCAGTCACGGGGGAGCCATTGGCCAATGATGGCTTCAAAGGGGGAGATTGGGAGGTGGAGACTTGGAGACGCCAGAGCGAACCAGCCCGGCATTCCTCGTTCCGTCCACACCCGCGATCGGCGCAGAGACTTGATGCATCCAAGTTTGTGGATGGCTATGGTTTGTATGGCCAGCGGGGACAGGGTTCTTCCTGGTCATTACTACTCGTTGACAAAACGCAAAAGCATGGCTCGTCGTGTCCAGTTGGTGCGGATGGGCGGAATCCACCATCCGTGACTCATGGGTCCATCTAGGAATCATTTGTCTGTCATACCGTCGTACCGGTTGCATCAACAGCCGCTCCTTGAGAATACACACGACACCGTAAGACAGTTAAATTTCGCATGCAGGGACCCGCTTGCCTCTCCTGAAGACAGCCTTTTTCACTGTGAGATTGTTAGTCTTGTCATTTCTAAGCTGGAAGGCATTTAACCTTCGAAGTTGATAGCTCAGATTCCTACCCCGCCAACACACTGGGCGATAAAACGCTGATAATATTATATCCTTTCAAGCATAGTAACGAAACGTTGCGTTATGTACAACCATGTACAACCCAGGTCCTGAGCCTGCCCAACCCATTTACGCCCATACCATAACGCCTGCTTGCAAATTGTGTAACCGACGCCCATTGCGGTGTGGAGATGTGCCTGCACTGATGTCCGCTATATCTGCTGAACTGACCCTGTCGGTCCAACTAGAGGAATACCTTTCTCGCCTCCCGCGGATGACTCTCACTCGGGCAGTAAGGGCACTTGAATCGGCTACCCTTGCACAACCGTTTGAGTGACTCCTCCGCGATTACATGCCCACAGGGCATCATCATGGGAGGATTCTCATCCGTGGTTTGCTCCTTTGATACGGGACATACAAAGATAGAATGGAAGAGATACGACGGGGGTAGCGGGATCTCGACCTATATGGCGCACCAGTCAGCTCATGAAACGTCAGACATGTGCGCATCAACTTGACTTACCGGGAGCTCGTTCTCCGTGGTCCATTCGGTTCGTTTGGCTTTCATGATAGTCTGTAACTTCAACAGCGT